AAAACTTACCTTCGCCTGGTTTGTTTACATAACTCTGCGCCTGTCCTCTCTCATGCACTCATTCTTTCTCTCTCTCATTTATTCGTTTTATCTCATTTACTTACTCCTGACCCTACATTAAGACTACAAATATTTTAAGGTAAGTAATGATTGAACTGTATATACATTTTATCGCTCTGGGATGCTTAAATAGTATCATGGAATATATGTGTGGGTGGGTTGGCCTGGTATGGTAGCCCGGATGACTACCATACATACCACACTTGATTTTTTACAATAAATACTACTCATCTCACCCTATATTTTAAGGTAAGTAATGAGTGAACTGTATATACATTTTATCGCTCTGGGATGCTTAAATATCATAGAATTGTATGTGTGGGTGGGGTGGCCTGGTATGGTAGCCTGGCTGACTACCATACCTACCACACTTGATTTCTTACAATAAATACTACTTGTCTCACCCTAGATTAAGACTAAATATTTTAAGGTAAGTAGTGAGTGCACTATGTGTGTATTGTACTTTTTTATTGTTTTTTGATGCCTGGTTCTATTGCTAACTTAATATATGTTAGTGTAAACTTGTTATCTAGTGTTTGTATGCATTTGTAAGTGGAAAAAAAGGGTGTTCCACTTTACGGCAGTTTCCGCTTTATGGCGGTAGCCTGGAACCTAATCAGCCGTATAAGTGGGGCCCTACTGTATATATACGTTTGGGGCACTAGAGGTAAGAACGTACATATATATTTGGACCGTTTATGGGTTAAGTAGGTTTAGACCTTTGAAGAGTGAGGGAGTGTGTTGTTTGGCAATAGATTGGGTGATCATTCGTACTGCTGCTTTTTGTTGTGTTATTATTGACTTAAGGTGATTTGCTGGGGTGGATCGCCAGGCACTAATAGCATAGATGAGGTAGAGATAGATTAGAGACAACAACCTGAATTTTAGCACCCAGATCCAACACATAACAAAAAAAGTATCCAAAGCAATTGGGATCCTCTAAAAGATACGATACTATGTGCCGCAATCTGCCCTTCTCACACTATACCATTCACTCACTTGTGCATACCTCACCTATGCTATTTGTGCTTGGGGATCAACTGCAGTAACACACCTAAAGCCAATAATAACCCAACAAAAAGCCGCAGTAAGAATAATCACGCAATCCCATCCCAGGCAACACCCCCCCCCCACTCTTCATAGATCTAAACTTACTCACTGTTCAGAACATCCACACTTACTACTGTGCAATCTTCATCTACAGGACCTTAAATTCCAATATTAACCCTGACCTAAAACACTTTCTTGATAGTTGTGATGGGACCCACAGGCATAACACCAGACACAAACATCTCTATGACATTCCCTGTGTCCGACTAAACCTCTACAAAAATTCAATGTATGTCAAAGGGCCTAAAATCTGGAACACCTTACCTGAAAACTCTAGAACTGCAGACACATTCGTCACTTTCAAAACTACCATTAGAAAACATCTTATCTCCCTGATACACCCCATCAGCTAACTACATGAAAAACCACCTGGTGGTTCACACTTACACTCACACACTCACCCAACTGACTATAAACACAGAAATACGAATCTTAAAATAATGGATCCTAGCTAGTCATAAGTTTGCCTGATACTCCAATATAGAAACTATGTATTGTACCAAAACAAAAGCATTCACATTGCTAAATTTACAAACTGTAATGTAGTTACTTACCAACTTGCTCCATAATCTGTAATAATTTAGAGTTATGAATCTTAGTCTGCCTGAAATGCCTAGCCATGCTAGGTGTGATAGTGGCCCCCTCTGTAATTAGTATTTTATAACATGTAAACCACACAATATCTTAAAATATGTAAATCCCGCATTGTAATCTTTATAGAGAATAAACTTGATTTGATTTGATATAATGCAAGTAGTGCTGTTTGAGTTATGTGCATAGTAACGTATCTTGGAGAGAATGCTAACGGATTTTTTTTTTTTTTTTTTTGAAATGTGTTGACTGTGGGTGTTGAATTTTGTAGCAGCCTAGGAACAGACCTAGCAATTTTCCTTTCTTTTGTTAGGTAATGGGAGAACTGTTAATTATAACGTTTAGTTGGACGTTTATTGCTCTGCTCCCAAACATCATGTAAAAGGTCTTGTCACTGTTTAGCGTGAGTGTACTGGTAGTCATCCAGGTTGATATCTACAGTTTTTGACCAATCTCTACCAAATGTATATGAACCCTTCACACATTCATAAAATGAACATATTTTTTTTTTTTTAACAAGTCGGCCGTCTCCCACAGAGGCAGGGTGACCCAAAAAGAAAGAAAATCCCCAAAAAGAAAATACACCTACCATCCGACTTACGACCGAGTTCGGTTCTGAGAAACCGGTCATAAGTTGAAATGGACGTAAGTCGAACTTTACTACTGAATATCAACATAACATTTTTGTAATGACTTTCTTTTGTTTTACTTTGGTATTTCATGTTTTACTTTACTTTTTATGCTGTTAGTACTATATTTTATACTGTAAGGCTTAGGATAAACACTGTGTACAACACAAACACTTGTTTATTTCTCAGAAATTGGCATAAAAAACACGGTCGTAAGCTGAGTCGTCGTATGTCGAGCAGGTCGTAAGTCAGATGGTAGGTGTACTTTCATCATCATTCAACACTTTCACCTCACTCACACATAATCACTGTTTTTGCAGAGGTGCTCAGAATACAACAGTTGAGAAGTATATACGTATAAAAATATGCAACGTTTCCCTCCAAACTGCCAATATCCCAAACCCCTTCTTTAAAGTGCAGGCATTGTACTTCCTATTTCCAGGACTCTAAGTCCGGCTATATAAAATACATAACTGGTTTCCCTGAATCCCTTCACTAAATATTACCCTGCTCACACTTCAACAGCTTGTCAGGTCCCAAATACCATTCGTCTCCATTCACTCCTATCTAACACGCTCACGCATGCTTGCTGGAAGTCCAAGCCCCTCGCCCACAAAACCTCCTTTACTCCCTCCCTCCAACCTTTTCGAGGACGACCCCTACCCCGCCTTCCTTCCCCTACAGATTTATACGCCATCTCCCAACAAGGTAGGGTGACCCGACAAAAAATAAAACTCTCACTGTTACTCATTCAATCACTGTCTTGACAGAGGCTTACTGACATTACAGTTCAATTGACCCTCCAAACCTGAACATCCCCCCTCCCCTGCAGGGTGAAGGCAGAGCACTTCCTACATCCTGGACTCAAGTTTGGCTAACCAGTTTCCCTGAATCCCTTCATAAATATTACCCTGCTTACATTCCAACAGTTTGTCAAGTCATAATAATCACTTACCTCCACTCACTCCTATCTAACATGCTCACACAAGCCTATTGGATGTCCAAGACACCTTTACCTTCTCCCTTTAACCTTTCCAAATGGTCAAACTACCTTAGCAACCCCTCCTCAGCCCTCTGAATAATACATTTCATAACTCTACACCTCCTTATGTCCAAACTCTGAATTCTTTGCATAATATTTACACCACACATTGCCCTCAAACATTACATCTCCATTGGCTCCACCCTCCTCCTTCCTACAACATTCAAAAATCATTCTTCACATCCATACAGCACTGTTGGTACCACTATATTCTGGTACATTCCCCTTTTTTCTCCATGGATGCAGTTCTTTGTCTCCACAGATACCTCAGTGGAACCCCCTACCTTTTTTTCCTTCATCAGTTTGGTTCACCTTATCTCTCATCAAACCATTTGCTGATGAGTCCATTTTCTTCCTGCAGTCTGATATCCAGTCTGTAATTGCTTATATTTTTTTATACTCTCGTCACCTATCTTTTTCCTGTGTTCACTTTCTTGACAAATCCATCCAAAGTACTGTAGCATGAAATTGAATAGTGTCGGATTCATCTGTTTCTAAAATGAAGCATAAAAAAGTAAGTTGGAACCGGTACTTGGCTGAGTGATTAAAAGAAATAGCAGGACACCTCTAGGGGTAGGAACTAGAGGATGGCCATCAACCACTGATTGAGTGTTGGATGACAGGTTGAGGGGTGGTAGAAACATTGAGGACATAATTAACCTCTTCTGAGGAGATAAATCTGCAAGACTGGGCAGAGGATGTTCAGATCAGTAAAAAATCATCATTGATAACCTGGAAGTTTCCACAGATAGCTACCATATGTATGGTTCAGCACACCAAACAGAAGATTGCAAGAAAATAGTCTATTTGTCAGGCAGAATGCATGCTGGTGACTATTTCCAAAGATGGCAGTGGAAGTTTATATCCACTAAAATGGTGAAAGTTCTCATTTATGGGAAGAGGTTTGTAACATACATTGAAACACTTTTAAATGGTAGTTGAGTCCTGAGGAGTGTCTGTGGTAGATGCTAGAGGAGGCAGAAAGCCATTAGAATCTTTCATATGGATAGCAGAGGTTATACAGACAGATGGCTATTCTTGATGTTGTTCATGCAACTCCAAAACATCTACACCATTTTATAAGATAATTTATGTTCTTAGATTCTTTTTGTTAATACATGTATCTGATGATTTAATTAATCCACACATGGAAGTTTCATATTTATGCTTCCAAACATTGGAAAGGTTAAAGTTTTTATATTGTAATGAAAGTAAAAGACACTTGAGACATTGTTAAACTTTTTGGAGCATTTCATTCATTACTGTATTATCATCACATTATCTGGGAAGTGCTAAATCCATAGGGAGGTCATAGGAGGTTATAGAGTGCCTGGAGAATCAGGTTTGATTTGAAGAAGCAGTAGGTAGTTCCAATTCTTATAATCAAGACCCCTTTACTGGCATCAAGGCACCTTTCATAAAGGGTGTTTATAACTGAAGAATTTGATACTGGAACTTATGTTAAGGAATATATATTTTAATGTATCACATTGCACTATATTTTGTATAAAGAACTGAATACTGTATTTAAATTGATTTTTTAATAGATTAATGTGTTGTACTTGCAGGCTATTTTAGGCCAGGTGCTATTTGGTGAGGTAGTAAGAAGTCTGTGGTGGTTGGGAAGTGTATTGATCATCAGTGGTCTCTTACTGATGCACCATGCCACCAATATTCCTCCCCGCAAACCTGGCACCAGACCCAAAACCCACTAGACCTCAACTATAGTGAGTCAGATATTATTCTTCAACATAATCCTTTCTTCATATTGTCATCAAAATTCTTAATAACATAAGATGGTTTGTTTGAGATATACTGTGTAAAGAAGTTCTGTTGTACACAGTACCTGTTTTCAGTAATGTACTGTATATAGGGAATATTTTTAGTAATAAGATGCTATAGTATATTCAGGAAAATACGTCTTAATTATTTGATTCACATTGCTTGTCAGAATGCTGAGGCTTTGATGGCAGTTTGGGAGTGCAAAGATACTCGCCAGGCCAGTAAATAATGTGTGCTTGCTCACTTCATCCCTGCTCTATATTCACTGGGCATTATGACAGTTTCAGTACTAACACAGTATTATCAGTTTTGCTTGGTGTGTTATAATCAAAGATATGTCTGACAACCATAAAATTTCTTGTGAGTGGCTTGACATTCTGCATCAAATAAAGTCTGTGTATAAAAGTGTGTGGCAAGTTCAAATGCAGAAATTATTGAAGGAACATAATGTATTTTGTATTGATATACTGTATACATGTATAGGGATTTGCCCATTAAAAATGAATTTTGTTAAAGTTATGTATATGCTACTTAAATAATTTATGAAATACCAATTTATTAATTTTGAGTTTTTGTTTAAGATTTTTATATGCCTGTGCAATATTACATAAGCAAGTAATTCAGGCAGGTTTTCAGGCTTCTCGCTGTCAGTACAGTTGCTGAGCTGCGTCAGCAGTAGTGTATAGTTTTATCAGTAACACAGTTTGCCAGTACCTATTTGTCTAAAAGATTTATTATTATAAGTACTTTATAAAAGCCTTTCATAACTCATCTTTCAGTGCTTAAATTATATATTAATTATTTATTGGTTCTGATTTAGCTTGATTAATTGGAATATGTATTATTGTTTTAATATTTTTCTATGTAGAGGTTTCCTCTTGCTTTATGAGGTATCACTTATGCAAACTTGTTTATACAGTCAGAGCTCTTATAAAGCTTCTGTATATAGTGTGTTTCTTCACAAATGCAATTGAAAAGGTGCTTCAGAAATTTATTTTATTCATATTATGAAGGCCTTTCATGTTCTATTCAGTTTTGGTGTATTTTTTCAGTCTTTAATAGAGGATCTCTATAAGAGAGCTGACTGTATATGGTGACCCTATTTCTGCCAGTAATTTACTGTGGGCAATGTAAATTTTCTCTATGCTATCACCTAATCCCAGCTTCACTTGATTAAAAGTGAACATAAGAGAAAACAAGGTGATGAGGGTAACATATGATTTAGGTAATGAAATATTGGATATCAGATTGGAAGCAGGAAATATGGAGGAAGTAAGGAGTGGATTTGTTGATAGATGGGTCTATGAAAGACAAAGTGATCCATAGAAGTGATGCAGGGAAAAATGTGGGTGGATCACTGAAGCATCTGTAAAGACAAAGAGGCAAAAAAGAGGAATGTATGAGAGTATAGTGGTACCAACACTCTTATATAGGTGTGAAGCATAGGTTGTGAATGTTGCAGCAAGGAGGAGGTTGGAGGCGGTGATGTCGTGTCTGAGGGCAGTGTGTGGTGTGAATATTATGCAGAGAATTTAGCAGAGGGACTGTTGAGGTAGTTTAGACTTTTAGAGAGGATGGAACAAAATAAGATAACTTGGAGGGTGTATAAATCTGTAGTGGAGGGAAGGCAGGGTAGGGGGTCATCCTAGGAAAGGTTGGAGGGAGGGGGTAAAGAAGGTTATCAGGAAATGGTATGGTGATACCGACAAGATGTGGAAAAAGACACTTATGTACAGTTCAGGACATTTATTAGAGGAGACGTTTCGCCACGAGTGGCTTCTTCAGTCCTAATACAGAGAAAACTAAGAAAACGTATATATATAGTGGCAGGAGTCAGGTGAGGTGACGCGTGGGTAGAGGTGGTAGTAGTAGTAGTAGTGGAACTAAGGAGGTGATACTAGAGAGGGACCTGCTGGCATCATGTAACACCAGTTCCCAGGATGGGTAATATCCTCTTGCTTAGTAATTTTGAAATACAGAAGCCACTCGTGGTGAAATGTCTCCTCTAATAAATGTCCTGAACTGTACATAAGTGTCTTTTTCCACAAAGAAGGTTATGTGTGTGAGGGGCTTAGATATCCAGCAGTTGTGTGTGACAGTATTAGATAGGAGTGAGTGGAGGCAAATGAGTTTTGGGACTTGACAAGCTGTTGGAGTGTGAGCAAGGTAACATTTGTGAAGGGATTCAGGAAAAACGGTTAACCAGACTTGAATCTTGGAGGTGGGAAGTACAGTGGCTTTACTCTGAAAGAGGGCTGGGGATATTTGAAGTATGGAGGGCATCTGAACTGTAGTGTTGGCATGCTTCTGGCAAGACAGTGATAAAGTAAATGATGGTAAAAATGTTTCTTTTTTTTTGGGGGGGGTCACCCTACCTTGGTGGGAGATGGCCGGTGTGTTAAAAAAGAATTTTACATTGGTTTATATTGACACATGAAAGAAAACAGATTTAAATTTGGGAAATCCAATGAGCATATATTAAATGAAATCCTTTGGATGGTTTTTCCTATGGCCGATTCATTTTCACAAGAAAATTAGTGGATGGCCGCATGAAGTTGAGTTGCACCGACACAGAGTTGGGCCTTAGGGTGGAGGGAGGGAGGATTATTATTATTATTATAATCATGGAGGAGTGCTAAACCTGTAGGGATTATACAGCACCTGTGGGGGGGTGTAAGGTATTCAGGCTCAATTCAGGGAACTGGATTCCCTAGATTAAGAGCCCCTCACCAGTGTCAAGGAACCGCCCCTGAGGGGAGAGGAAGGGAGGAAAGAGTGGTAGGGAGATATGAGGCCACAGGTTCATAATATGGGCCAGTTCAGTCCAGACAAGTTGGTTGGTTGGTTGGTTCAGACAGGTTGGTTGATTGGTGGTGGAGAGAGGCTGAAATGGAGGGAGTATTTTAATTTAATTTTTTATTGAATTTTTTCTTATTTTTGTAACTAATTGCAGTTTTTTTATGTGACTCTTTGGTACCAGCTTGGTATCCTCATAATTGTTTGATTAAAATAAGTAAAGAGATATAGATTTTTCCAAGTTTATATTGTATAGGGATTACAATTGAATTTTGTTTTTTCTTATTTCTTTGACTAAATTTGTTTCTTTGTATATTATCATTTGGTGCATGTGTGGTAAACTTATATTTTTTTTTTATAAACATAGATCAAGTAATGTGGAATTTGCAGAGTTTCAGAAAGAATCCTGTTTTTCATATAGCGTATTATAATGTGTTTGCTTTATGTGAATTTGCTCTATGCCATGTGCCAGGAATGCATGTATTGCATACAGTGAGGGATACCCATACATATACAGAGATCACTTATGGCCCATATAGAGCCAATAAAGCATTTAAATTACTGGTATCACTTTGGAGTTCTGAATTTGTACTCACTGGAGTGGAGGAGAGAGATGCATGATAATGTATGTGTGGAATGTACTTGAGGGACTAGATCCAAATCTGCACACTGCCATAACAATATACTAGGTTGAGAAGTATGAAAGATAATGTAAAATAAACCCAGTGATAATCAGGGGTGCCATAGATATGTTAAGATAACATTATATGAAGATCTGTAGGCTCAGACTATTTAACATGTTGCCAGTAAGTACTGGGGACACTGCCAGAACAAATGTAGAATTCTTCAAGAAGAAATTTGGCAAGTTCCTCCACAAAGTGACAGGTGAACTAGGTTGTGATGGATATGTAGGCCAGTGGGCCACCAGCAGCAACAGTGTGGTTGACCAGGCAAGCACCTGACAAGCTGGCCTAGGGTTGGGTTGTGGGAGTAAAAAAATCTGAAAACCCATCAAAGGTATATCCAAGATGTACAGTGTGGGGGATTATTTTCCTGAAAATTGGCACCTTATGAAAAATGGTTTTATGTGAAGTGAAGAACATATGGGAAAAATAGAGTTATATTCCAGGTACCTCCAAGTTTGCCATTGAGCAAATCTACCTCATATTGTTAGTCATTACTTGAACTGTTTGAAGAGTGTTGCCTACTGGACTGAGTTCAGTGTAACAAGGTTTATCAGCTGACACACACAGTACATACATATCAGCATCATAAAAATACAAGAAACATTTCCTTGTGAAATTGTACCAAATGTATAGAAACTCATCACTTGTACCAAACATACATATATTAAAGATAATTGCATTTGACGAGGTAATAGCCAAGAAAATACAAATGATGCGTAAAATGTGGGAGGCTGTGCCTGGAAGATGTGGAGAGAGCTGTAGACTTTGGCTTTGGCTGCTAGCAATAAGAAGAGAAAGTAGTTATGATAGTTGGCTACACTACCTGTGTGGCTAATCTGAGGGCAGAGTTAGCAGAGAAATAGCATGCCTCCACCTTGTCTCAAAATATAACTATTATCTTGATAATATAACAGAGACAGCAGTTGGCAGGAGACTTGCCCATATATCTTTCCTCATTTTATTAGCTAAATAAACACTACTTTACCTTTCTTAGTCTGCTTTGGGGAATCTCTTGAAATATGTCCCTACCCTCTCCCCAAGGATACCCACCGCCCAGCCCATCCCACCTACCAGCCACCCCACCACCAGCTGCACATAATAAATACACCATCCACCACATACACCTGTTTTAAAAGTAATCATGGGCAAGTATAAAGGCTGTTGTATATGTGAAAAAATCTTTGGGAGAAACATGAGGGGCATTGATTGTGAAATATGCGGTAAAACATCACATATATCATGTACAAAGCTTCATGCAGCCATGACAAATGACCAAAAACAAGAAAGTTGTATCTGGATTTGCCCCAGTGAAAGGGACAGCTAGTTAAGCATAAGAAAGGTACTGAAAAGTGAAAACCTAGAAAGCGTAAGGAAGTTTCTAAGGGGTGGAAAACAGGGGAAAGGGAACAAGAAAAGGAGGAAAACCAAGGTGAAAACCAAGGAGTGAAAGTAAGAGCAAGAGTAGAAAACGTCATACAGAGCAAGTCGGACAAGGAAACAGGAATACATAACATAGCGGAAAGGGGAAGGGAGGATGAGAAAACTAGAAAAGGAACAAACGAAAATGAGCAAAGGGAAGAAATTAGCCTAGAAGAAAGTGAACAAGGGAACTCAGATCAGGTGGCAGAACTTAGGAACGACACAGAATCAATAAATATAAGTAGTCAGAACATTTGCAGTTACTATGCTAAAGGTATGTGCCTATATGGCAGAGATTGTTGGAATAAACACACCAGAAAATGTGCGAACATGTTGAGGAAGGCAAAGTGTCGTTTCAACAAAGAGTGCAGCAAGTACTTCCATCCAGTAATGTGTAAAGCTTCAATGCAGTCCAGAGAATGTTATGACCTGAGCTGCCCAGACCATCATGTAAAAGGAACGCGGTGCTACAGAGCTAGCAGAGAAAGGGAAATTGAACAGCATTCTTTTTTAGACAAAAAGAGAAAAGATCAAAACAAAGGAAGAGACAAACAGGGGGAATGGTATAGAGAGGACAGGTGGGCAGTAAAATGGGGCGTACGAAACCAGGCATCAGCCCGTCAAGGCCGAATAAGCAAAGAAACGTGAAGCCAGTACTGGAGAAACCAGGGGAGTGTACACCAGGGGACATACCAGGTAATACACCACTAGTGGTACTAATGAAACACAGAGCGAGACAAAACATCCCACTTGGTAATTCCTGCTTCATATTTGCAAATATACAGGGTTTGAAATCAAATAAAAATGACAAAGTTAGTTATGTCAGTGGGCTCCTGACAGAAGTGAATGCCATATTCGGAGCATTTACAGAAACACATACAAGGGATGTTTTGGACAGAGAGATAAAGATAGAAAACTACAACACGTATAGATGTGATAGAATCAATAGGTCACAGGGAGGAGTAGGAATCTATGTAAAGGATACTTTCTGTTGCACATAAGTGCTGAATTCTATGAATGATATAAATAATAAGAAAAGGTACAATACCGTGACTGGAACGATACACAAATAACCCCCACATAAAAGAGAGAAGCTTACGACGACGTTTCGGTCCGACTTGGACCATTGACAAAGTCACACTAACCAGAAGTGGAGCAGGACGGCTATATATAGGCAGGAAGAGGTGGTGGTAGTAGTAGTAGTAGTAGTACAAGAATGGTACGTAATACAGACAAGGTGAAATTAAGAATCATGCGCAACACCCGGGCATCCCCATCGTAGACATTTCGCCATCCAGCCAGCCACTGGATGGCGAAACGTCCACAACAAAGACAACCAGACGCCGCACATATGTCTTAATTTCATCAGTAGTTGTAGTAGCAGTAGTAGTAGAAGAGGTAGTAGTAGTGGTAGTGGTAGAAGTGGGAAATAAGGAGGACGAGCCAGTCAATTACAAAGGAAGGGGAGCACTGCAAGAGAGCTAGGTGACCACTGAGGGAGAGCAACCGCATCAAGGAGTGATAGCGCACAAAATGAAGGCCATGGGCATTACGGGGAAGGTAGGCAGATAAATTTTCGGTTTCCTAACACACACAACACAAAAAGTAGTAGTGAACAGGGCAAGATCCAGCATCAGCGAGGTCAAAAGCTCAGTGCCCCAAGGCACTGTCCTGGCACCTCTGCTGTTCCTCATCCTCATAGCAGACATAGACAAAAACACCCGGTACACTTTTGTATCATCATTTGCAAATGACACTAAAATAAGCATGAAAATCAGTACTGTAGAGGACACTGAAAAAGTACAGGAAGACATAAACAGGGTTTTCCAATGGGCAGTGGAAAACAACATGACATTCAATAGTGATAAGTTCCAGCTGCTTAGGTATGGAAAGAATGAAGAGGGTCACCAAATAGAACGTAAGGAACACGTAAAAGACCTAGTAATAATTATGTCAGTGGACCTTTCTTTTAAAGACCATAACAAGACAAAGATCACGACAGCCAGGGAGATGACTGGGTGGGTATTGAGAACTTTCAAACAAGGGGAAAGAATGCCGATGGTGACACTTCAAATCGCTAGTGCTCCCTCACTTAGAATATTGCTCAGTGCTGACGGCCCCGTTCAGGGCAGGAGAAATATCGGAGCTGGAACAAATACAGAAATCGTTTACGGCTCACATTGAGCCAGTAAAGCACCTAAACTACTGGGAACGCCTGCAAGTCTTGAACATGTACTCATTGGAGTGGAGGAGAGAGAGGTACATGATAATATATACCTGGAAGGTACTCGAGTTCCTGGTCCCAAATCTGCACACTGCCATAACAACATACTGGAGTGAGAGATATGGGAGGAAGTGTAAAATAAACCCAGTGAGGAGCAGGGGTGCAGTGGGGACAATAAGGGAACACTGTATCAACATCCGGGGTCCCAGACTTTTCAACATCTTACCAGAAGATATCAGAAACACTGCTGGAACAAGTGTTGAAGCCTTCAAGAGGAAACTAGACAAGTATCTTCACCAGGTGCCAGATCAACCAGGCTGTGATGGATATGTGGGGTAGCGGGCCTCCAGCAGCGACAGCCTGGTTGACCAGGCGAGCACCAGATGAGCCGGGCTCAGAGAGTAGATATACTCTCGAAATTCTTCAAAGGCATATCAAAGGTGGATAGTTATCTGATGTAATGGCTGCTTCTCAGTGAATACATACTGACTTCCACTTCAACTTTTATGTAGTCACTCTTTGTTATCAATCTCCAACATGTTCAACAACTGTAGAAATACATCTAGAGTAGATATGAAACTTGAAAGGCATGGGAATATGTAATTAATGCACTAATGAGGGGAGAGGCTTTCCTGGTAATATTGATTATCCATTAAATTTGAATGGTGAGATTCTTTTTCCTTGATCATAGGAAAAACTGACAATTCTGGATTAAAAAAGGACTTTTTCTGTTTGCTTCAAAATCAATTCACCAGGCAGACCATAACTTATTTCTGGACAACAGATTTTTTAAGTTAAATCCAAACTCCCTTAAGTTGAGGTTTGTTAACCCCTTCAGGGTCCGAGGCCAAAATCTGAAGTGTCCAAGAATTTAAAAAAAAAAAAATTGTTATTTTTTCTTATGAAATGGTAGAGAATCTTTTCGTGAAGGTAATAAATCAAAAAGTACGAAATTTGATGGAAAATTGACGAAATTATGCTCTCGCAAATTTTGATGTGTCAGTGATATTTACGATTCGGCGATTTTGCCGACTTTGACTCCCATTTTAGGCCAATTACATTATTCCAGTCAACCAAATTCTTAGCTGTTTCACTAGTATTACTTCTATTCTATCGATTGAGCACAAGAAATCGCCAAGTCAACTGTTTCAACTACAAAATAAAGTGATCGGAAATTGGTAATTTGGCCAATTTAACACAAAGTTCAAAATATTCCAATTTCAAAATAGGGTCCAAAATAAATAATGTAGGTATTCCTGGCACTAAATGAACATTTCCTCTGTTCATTAGTTACATTTTGAGGCTTTACAAATAAATTCCATTTTGATTTTTTATTCACATAATGAATTTTTATTCACACCAAAAAATAGAAGATTTACTGTTATGCAATATTGTAATAATTGTATAAATATCATCACCATATTTGTGAATGTATATTAGACCCACCAGTGTGAGGTTGTTTGTTTACTCTTGAACATCGGCAAAATTTAACATTTCTGCTACTTTGAGCTTAGTTTCAAGCCATTTCTAGTACTAAAACCAATCAAAATCATCTCTATTTCTGTAATATGTCTTCCATTCTATCAAATGAGACCAAGAAATCGCAAATACAACTATAAAAAAACATACGAAAAAGCACTGCAAAGTCGCTGTTATAATCGAAAATCATGGCCTCAGTTTTTTTTCTCTCATTATACACAGTGTGCTGCAGGATTTGTTTTATGTGGTGCACACATACCACATAGATGTATTCTCTCATATCTAGGCCTAAATGTACCACTCACAGTTTATCAGAGTGAGCTGAGCTCATGGCGTAGATCTACGGTTTGGACCCTGAACGTAAAGCCGTAGATCTATGGGATGGACCCTGAAAGGGTTAAATCAAAGTATTACTAATTATGATAATATAATACAATACAGACTATTGGAGGGAAGAGGTAAAGGAAATTTTGTGGGCAAGGGGCTTGGACTTCCAGTAAACGTGCGTGAGTGTGTTAGGAGTGAATGGAGACGAATGGTTTTTGGGACCTGATGATCTGTTGGAGTGTGAGCAGGGTACTATTTTGTGAAGGGATTCAGGGAAACCATTTAGCCAGGCTTGAGTCCTGGAAATGGGAAGTGCAATGCCTGCACTTTAAAGTTTTTTCTTTCTTTTTGGGTTGCCCTGCCTCAGTGGGAAATGGCGGATGTGTTAAACAAACAAACAAACGAAAACAGACCATTTATAGATTTTTGGTATTAATGCACTAAATATTCTCTTCAAATTTTTTATGCTTTTTTATAGTAAAGGCATTCACAGGTTATATTAATTTTGGAAAACATTAGTTATGTAAGAAAAATGCTCTCTAGTGGAAATGACTTGCTCGTGTTTAACAAAACTGGTGAGAGGCTGTATGGGTACTGTCTGTGGCCAAGCAGAGTGATTGAGAAAATCTACAGAGCACACTATTCAAATTTTGCACATTACTTAACTTTTTTTTAGAGCTACATCATGCACATGATTGCACTTTTTCATTTGCAAATTACAAGTTCACACTTTGAGGTCACTGTGTAAGTGTTTTTTTTTGTGTATACAATAGACTATTAGTTAAAGTGTGAGCTGTTAGCACTTTCGCTTTAACATGGTTGCAAAATTGTCTCATATTTTTTATACACCATATTAAGGAGTTAACATGGTAGGGTACATGTAGGGAAAAAATGTGGCACATACCAGGTCCTTTTCCCTCTGTCTCACCGTTTGTCTACAAGTGAGTATATTGGCTTACGGGGGAGGCCTACAGAATGTACACAACCTTCTTTTGCCTCTGTGCTCTGTTTGTACATGTCCAGCACCATACTTGGCTTGTATTAATGAATTGGTTTTTTAATCTTTTCAATGTCCTTTCTTGTCTCTGGATAGTAACCATGGCACCTAAAAGGAGTGACCCTTGAAGCACAAAAAAAAGCATAACTAAAAGTCTTGTTGTTATGAAGAAAATTGACATTCGAGATAAACTTAAAAGTGGTGCACATGTGGTGGAGACTATGAGTCTGTGGTCTGACTGAGGCATCAGTTCACACAATTAAAAAGAATGAGGTGAAGATACAAGCTTGTGCAGTTAGTAAGCCAGGTTGTGAACTGAAATGGACAAATAGGTCACAGCAGCTCAATAAAACAGTAAAATTATTGAGTGAGTGAAAAATCAAGAAAGTTGCATCACTTAATTGTGTTTTAGTATAGGAAAAAGACTTAGAGTACTATAAAACAACATGAATAAGGAAGGAAGGCCTGAACAAGAGTACTTGCTTAGCACTGGCTGGTTCCACAAGTTCAAAGTGCATAGCCTCTTGCACAATATATTTTCTGGTGAAAGTGCTTCTGCTGAGGAAGCAATTTTCCTCCTGAATTACAGGAAATTATTTCTTAGGGTTGCTGTGAGCCACAGCAAATGTTAAATGCTAATGAAACAAGTCTTCGTTAAAAGAAAATGCCAGCAAAAACTTACATCAGTCAGCAAGAAACAAGTGCACCAGGATTCAAGGTAGCAAAGGATCACTTCAGCTCACTACATTGTGGTAATGCACCAGATGATGGTTATTTACCACTCCAAGACTCGCAATGCTTTGAAAGGTGAAGATAAAAAAAACCTTATCAGTTACTTTGGAGGTCAAACCAGTCAGCATGGATGACAGAGGAATTATTTATTGACTGGTTTAGTTATCACTTTATTCCTGAAGTTATGTTTTAGGTGTGCAGCTTGGACATCCAGCAGGCTTGTGTGAGTATTAGACTGGAATGAATGGAGGCAAGTTGTTTTTAATGGACATGGTGTTGGAGTGTGAGCTTGGTAACTTTCATGAAGGGATTCGTGGAAACCAGTTAGCTAAATCTGAGTCTTGGAAGTGCAAATGGTAGTGTCTGCACTCTGAAGGATTATTATGTTATTCATGGGGAAGTGCTGAACCCCTAGGGGTCATAAAGCACCTGTGGAAATGGAAAGCATTCAGTCTCAGTTAAAAAAATTGGATCACAGGTTCAATTTCCTGGATCAAGAGCCCCTCACCAGCATCAAGGAACCTTCCTTGAGGGGTCACTCTGAAGGAGGAATGGGGATGTTACATTTGGAGGGTAATCTGATTATGATGTCGGCACACTTTGAAACTACAGTGGTTGAATGAATGACAGTGAATGCATTTTCTTTCTGGGTCACCTTGCCTTGGCAGGAGATGCACCCCTTTAACACCCCCCACCTCCCCCACACACAGCACCAGTATGGAACCCACACCTGGTCAAGCACCTCAAGAAAATAGAGAAAGTGCAATAGTTTGCAAAAAGACTAGTCCCAGAGCTAAGGGGTATGTCTTATTAGGAGAAGTTGAAAGATAAAGACGGTAAAGGTTACAATGTGTAATTACAATTTTGATTTGTTAAGTACAAAGAAAGTGACACTGGAGGACAGCAGGGATGAAGGGATGTGGTAATGACATAAAATACTGGGAGGAATTGACAAAGTGAGCAGGGACAGAATGTTTCAGAGATGGGATACAGGAACAAGGAGACACAACTGGAAGTTGAAAACTCAGATGAGTCATAGGGATGTTAGGAAGTATTTCTTCAGCCTTAGAATTGTCAGGAAGTGGAATTGTGGTTGCAGGGGTCGATTCACAGCTCCTGGCCCCACCTCTTCACTTGTCACTACTAGGTTCACACTCTCACTGCTCCATGAGCCTTATCATACCTCTTCTTAAAGCTATGTATGGATCCTGCCTCCACTACATCACTTTCCAGACTATTCCACTTCCTGACAACTCTATGACTGAAGAAATACTTCTTGATATCCCTGTAACTCATCTGAGTTTTCAACTTCTAGTTGTGACCCCTTGTTGTTGTGTTACATCTCTGGAACATTCTGTCTCTGTCCACCTTGTCAATTCCTTACAGTATTGTATATGTCATTATCATGTCCCCCCTCCCCCATCCCTCCTGATCTCCAGTGTCATCAGGTTGATTTTTCTTGACTTCTCGTCATAGGACATGCCCCTTAGCTCTGGGACTAGTCTCATTGCAAACCTTAGCATTTTCTCTAATTTCTGTATGTATGTACTCACCTAATTGTGGCTGCAGGGGTTGATTCACAGCTCCTGGCTCTGCCAGGAGCTGTGTTTGTGTGTGTGTGTATATATATATACAGTGGACCCTCAGGTAACGATGACATTGGCTAGCGATAAAATCGGATAGCGATGCGTTTTAGCATAAAAATATTGGCTCGGCCAATGATGAAAAACCCGGTTAAGGACAATCGTCCCGAATGCGTCCGCCTGTCCGTCCGGCCTGAGCGCGCCTCAGCTGCCCTGCCTTCAGGTAGTGTGCCATTGTTTATAAGCCACTGCAGATGGTTCCACGCATACATTCGATGCATTTTGTATTATTCAATTGTTTTTAGTGCTTGTAACTGCTAAATAAGCCACCACAGGCCTCAAGAAAGCTTCTAGTGCCAACCCTGTGGTAAAAAGGGTGAGGTGTACAATCAAATTGAAGAAAGAGATAATTGCAAAGTATGAGAGCGGAGTGCATGGCTCCAAGCTGGCCCGGTTGTACAACAAACCCCAATCAACCATCGTTACTATCTTGGCCAACAGAAAGGCAATCAAGGAAGCTGTTGTTGCAAAAGGTGCAGGTATGCTTACAAAACAGAGATCGCAAATACTCAAAGATGTGGAGAGACTGTTATTGGTGTGGATCAATGACAAACAGTTATCAGGAGATAGTGTTTCAGTCAATCATATGTGAAAAGCCAAGGCAGTTGCATGCGGATCTCATTAAGAAAATGCCTGGAACCAGTGCTGATGTTAGTGATTTTAAGGCCAGCAAAGGTTGGTTTTAGAGATTTAAGAATCGTAGTGGCATACGCAGTGTGATAAAGCATGGTGAGGCTGCCAGTTGTGACCAAAAAGTGGCTGAAAAATATGTGCAGGAATTCAAGGAGTACATAGACACTGAAAAATTAAAACCCCAACAAATGTTTAATTGTGATGAAACAGGCCTGTTTTGGAAGAAAATGCCAAACAGGACCTACATTACACAGGAGGAAAAAGCACTGCCAGGACAGAAGCCTATGAAAGACAGGCTTACTCTAATGTTTTGTAGTAATGCTAGTGGGGATTGCAAAGTGAAGCCTTTACTCGTGTATCACTCTGAAACTCCCAGAGTGTTCAAGAAAAACAATGTCGTCAAGGCTAATTTGTGTGTGATGTGGAAGGCAAACAGTAAGGCAGGGGTCACTAAGGACATTTTCCATGATTGGTTCTATCATGTGTTTGGCCCCACTGTGAAAAAATACCTCCTGGAAAATAAATTGGACCTCAAGTGCCTCCTAGTATTAGACAGTGCTCCTGCTCATCTTCCAGACTTGCCAGAGCGAATTGCGGGGGAGTTGAGCTTCATCAAAGTGAAGTTTTTGCCTCCTAATACTACTCCTCTCCTCCAGCCCATGAAACGGCAGGTCATTTCCAATTTCAAAAAACTGTACACCAAAGCAGTGTTTCAAAAGTGCTTTGAAGTGACCTCAGACACTGAATTGACCCTGAGAGTTTTGGAAAGATCACTTTAGTATCCTCAGTTGCATAAACCTTATAGGTAAGGCTTGAGATGGAGTGACTTGCAGGACTTTGAACTCTGCTTGGAGGAAATTGTGGCCACAATGTGTACAAGAGAGGGATTTTGAAGGGTTTGGGGCTAACCCTCAGGTGCCTATACCAGTTGTGGAATCTATTGTGTCATTGGGGAAGTCCATGGGGTTGGAGGTTAGTGGGGAGGATGTGGAAGAGTTGGTGGAGGATGACGATGAAGAACTAACCACTGATGAGCTGCAAGAGCATCTGCAACAGCAAGAGACCACAACTGAGGAAATTGCTTCAGAGGGGACAGAGAGATGGAGGAAGTTGCTTTCTTCAATGATTAAGGACATTTGTACAATGTGGACAAAGGTGCAAGCCTTTATGGAAGAACATCACCCTGACACAGCTATTGTAAGCCATGCTGGTGACTTTTACAATGACAATGTTGTGGCCCATTTTAGGAAAATCTTAAAGGAACCCCAGATACAAAGCTTTATGGGCAGATTTTTAGTGTGACAGAGGTCCAGTGACTCAAGTTGTTCCCAGTGGCATTAAAAAAAGAAGGGAAGTAACCCTGGAAAAGGACTTGGTACCTAAAGTCCTTATGGAAGGGGATTCCCCTTCCAAACAATAATACACCTCCATCATCTCCCCTCCTTCCATCTCATCACTCATCAATAAATCTTCAATAAAGGTAAGTGTCATTTATTCTTCCTGTAGTATTTATTCTTCATGTATCATTTTTTTCTGTGTAGGAAATTGTATAATTCATGTGAAAAATTTTTTTTTTAATACTTTTGGGTGTCTGGAATGGATTAATTGGATTTCCATTATTTCTTAGGGGGAAAATTAAAATTGGTTAAGGAGAAGCTCTCTGGAACGGATTAAAATCATTACCCGAGGGTCCGCTGTATATATGTATGTATATATATATATATATATATATATATATATATACATGTACAGTGGAACCTCAAATATCGAACTGCTCCTAACTCAACCAATTATGTAAGTGTATTTTTGTAAGTGCTTTTATAAGTGTATTTTTGAGGGTCTGAAATGAA